TTCGTTCAATGTGATATTCCCCAAAAATAGAAGAGGAAATTATGAAATAGTGTAACAAATATATATATATGTATAATGTAACAGTATTCTGTTATGCAATTTTTTATGAGTATATGAGGGATTATTGTTGTTTAAGATGAAAAACGAATGATTATTATTCAGAAAATGTAGTGAAAGATAAGTGCTTGATGAAAAGACGATTTGAAATTGGGTGAAAAAACGTTCAAAAATCGGAGATAACATTACAGACATTCAACAAATAAAATTACGGACACAAAGCGTATGATTTTATGTTTTATATTTAGACAATTTTATTGTCTTTCATGACGATTATTTTACAATGATTCTGTTAATACAGTCGATATGTACAATGTCATGCATTATAAACAAGAAGTTAAAACTATTTTCACATTTACCCAACAAATATAAAATACAATATGGATATTCCCAAACGAAAGGAAATGTGTGACACTACAATTTTGCAAGTATCATAATATAGATTGTCAATACATATATCCAAAATCAAAAATTGATTGTCAATATTATACATAATATAATGTAACAGTTCATCCATAATACTAGGAATAAACATACCCTGTAAGACAAAATCACGATGGTTTTATTTAAAAAAATAAAATTCAAGAAAAAGAGTAAAATTAGAAGAAATGGGCTAAACTTAACAAACATTTAGTCAACCCTCTAAATTGTATAAAATGTATCAGAAAATCAGAAACATTTTTTAAACTATAGAGAAATCAGTATTGAAACAGGGCAGACAAAATAAACCACCGTGGTACTTTTTAAAAAGGACGGTTACGCCACGCGCACTGCAAAGCGTCCACATTTGTTCAAACTTTAAAATATCAAATCGTACATGAATCGAATTTCTACTCAAGGGCCCCAAGCTTCTGATAATCTAAGTACAAATATATATATAACAATGCCATACCTACAATAGGTCTTAACATCACTCCTAGAAGCTTACGAATAATCAAGAGCCTTCAATATGCGTAATGTCCAATAATGAAAATATTTTCTGTACAAATCTCGAAATAAATTTATGTGAAAACATTAGTCTTCTAGCTGATACAATAATACTTGATCCTTTTAAAGTGGTCTTGAGAATGCTCTTAAAGGATGATTCAAACCCCTTAAAGCGGTAAACTGACACTTGTTTCCGTGATCACTTTCTCAATATGTTTTCTGAAGTAAAGCTATGCTCGTTTACATGCATTGGGAACAAACTGATTCTCGTTGTTTATATTTCCCTCTGAAAATAGGATGCGGCTACATGATTTCTAGAATTTCTATACAATTTAGATTGTTACTTAAACCTTGCTTTTCACACTTTCTCCACTCACATATTCGTAGAATATTAAATTGTTATATGTTAGCCATACACTTTGACCATTTTGAGTTCTCGATCTCTAATGTCACTCTAAATTAATAAACATAAAATCAATTACATTCCTCAGCGAATGATTTCAGGGTTTGATTCCACGTGTACATTTGGAGTTAACTTAGATTAAACAGAGATATCAAGAACAAGAAATGCTGAGTGCCACGCCTGATAGAAATTTAACAAATCATAGTGTAAACCCCAGATTCCGTGTTACAATTCATATCCACAATGGCATGTTTAATAGATATATCAATTATGTTTTTTGCTCATTCAAATTGGTGTGAATATTGTTGGAGCTTTATTTAGAATTTATTTAAAACAAATCCGACAGCAGCTGTGTCTTTTATCATTAAATAATGTGCTAAACTGTAACATAATCAGGGAATAGAGATCTCAAGAATAATGTACACAACCTAAATTGTAAAGAAATGCCCAAAATTAGTGACGTCATCAATTAATTGAAAGAAATAGGCGGGAGAACAAAACAAGAACAGACGATATTTTACGCATTTAATTGCACACTCACTTGAGATTGCACACATGCAAGTTCTTGAAAATGAATAAAAAGTTGTAGTAATTATAATGTTTGGTGATTATATAAAATCAAATGACGCCTATGTGGCAAAGTATATTAATAGACATTAACTACCACCACCCAGACATGTACAATATTTTAGAATTAATGCGAAAATCTGTATTTCAGTTTTTCTCTTAATTGATTTCAAACGTACAACATGAAAATGCGTTTGATTCGCCATAACTTGCAATTATTTGCCCGCCGTTATTTGTCTTTTTGATTTTTAGAATTTCAAATGATCATGTTCACTGAAACTGTTCTGTTATTTTATTGAAATATGCATAAAATGTTTTATATAAGGTTCTGATCGATAAAATTCGAATTCTAATCAAATATAATTATTTAGCTTTACATATCAAAGCATAAATTTAAAATAGCAATTTAATGGACCCTACATCTGAAATATATCCAACAAAACTGAATGCGAGAGAAGGCAAAACTGATATTAGTTTTAGTTTTTAATTTAAATATCAACAGAATTAAACGAATCGTCTCGTCAAAAATGACAATGAAAATAACAGGTAATTTTCTCAGGGACCTAATTGTGAGTCCGTATAAAATAAATGCGTCATTACACTTCAATTATATTTTTAAATTTTGAAACAAAATAAAGAAATCGTCAAATCAACAATTCTTTACAATATAAATTTGTTTTCATGACCAATGTGATTGCCATCTTTTAGATGCTATCTCTATCTTGTTTAAAAGTGTCAAAATGAACTCAGAAAAATATAATTAGAACTTGAAATTGTCAATCTGAATATTTTCCACTTCACATCATATCAAAAGATGAACAAATTGTCTATTTTTCTAACATTTCTATACACCTTAGGATGTGCACTTACTTTTTTCTCCAAGCGACTTCCAATTTTTATTCAATTTTGAATTTTGAAACATGCCCATCGTGATATAACATTTCAAAATCGGGTAAAGCGTGAAGAAATGGTCAGATGAGAAACGTCTCTGGTAAAACTTTCATTACTTGACGCGCCGTGTCATGATGTCAACAAAATGTCTAACCAGTGATAAACCTCTTGATTTATTCCAGTCTAGATTATCACCTCATCCTGATCTTAAGATTAACACTTGCGATTAATCCCTATAATGGTCATGTTTTAAAACGTAATTATGGAGTTATAATGAGTGAAAAAGCAAGAAATGAAGTAACTAGATATGACAAGGACACTCTAATTTGTATATTAATTAATGTAAAATATCTTGGTCAAAATTTAGAGATATTAATTGGTGAAGTGAAACGAGGCGAAATTTCAAACACCGGCAAAGTGTCTTGCATGTGCTAAATACACCGCATTATAAGATTTCACCTATCATCAATTACAAGATTATAATTTCATAAAATCTGAAACTATCTAGACATCAAAAATTCTTAAAATTTGACTGTAGGAAATGTGATAAAATTCAAGAAGAAAGCTGGCATAAAACTACCGCATTTTATTATAAAATAATAGAAGGGGAATTTTATTACGTTCATTGAGAAGTACCGGTTAACTTTCAAAACGTTCTTGCTTAATTTCTTATCTCAATATTATGCATATGATATTATCTAAAATTACGTGATAACGTGGTGCTGCGTAGTCATGCATCATCTTTTGGCAACTTTTATTCGAGTAATTGGTTCCTTCTTTGGCAAGTTCGATCGAGATTCTTCGATGGCCACGGCTAAGTTTTATTAGGCAATAAAATCAAAATATTTATTTACTAAATAATCAAAAAATATTCCAATTTTAAATTGATAATATCCATATTTAATTCTCAATTACCATATCGAGTGTGGAAATATGCGTAATTAATAGGCCAAAGTTGCGGGAATTAATTGGTTTAGTATTTACCAAGACCAAATATAACCTGAACCTGCGTTCCCATAAAAAAAACTGAAATAATTCAAAATATCAAACCCCAAAATCTTTTAATCTTAGCAACACGCAAAAATAATTTCATGTCTTTAAGATAAATTATAAGGGGAATCTTTGAAGAATTAAATGAAGAAAATTTACATTGTAAATTTATATGAGTTGAGGTTGAAGTCTTTATAAATTGAAGAGATATTTTAAAATTGAAATCTATATTTAAAAAATTGCTAATCGCCTACGGCAAACGTATAATGTTTAAGAGAAATGCTGAATTGTGGAATAAAAAGCTTATAAAAAGAAAAAAATATACCCTGAAGTCTCAGGCTTTTATCCTTTGAAAAATAAGCGATTTTGTCATAAATTAATAATTTAAAATACTAGTTATCTATTGAAATGCCGAACATCATAATTCGATAATTTGAATAACCTGTTAAGTATAAGGTTTTAATTTTTTTTGAAGTACCAACATTTAAATTCACTACGGTTTGCCATTTTTGATCCCAGTAACATTTATTGTGCATTTATAATACGGATCAGATTTATTTTCCAACAACTTTATGTTTGCTCAGGACGGTTAAGAAAATATTATTTTATTCTGATACACTTGCTCTGCAATGTAGGTCGGCAAAACCAAAATTCTCACGAAATAAACACAAATCAGTTATATGAATTTACGCGTATTTAATAACAGATTATGATAATTGCCATAATCTGTAAAAGTCTTTGGTATTTAGCTGTAACTGATCATACTAATATAATTAATTAATCTTTAATGATGATCAATTTACTGAATGACACTTGAATGGTCTATCAAGCATATTATCGCTCATAAACTCATTACTGTAAACTCACGAATTGCTAATAAAAATTACGAGTAAAAGTTTTACGAATAATTAATCTTGGAATCTTGGATGTTAAAAAAGTAGTGAAGAATTTCCTTTTTTCTTCACATAACTCAACTATCATTCAACTAAAATGACAAATTTGTGGAGGTAATTGTTTTTTAATTGTTTCTCGTATGTCTTCGGTTTCAGTAGAGTTTGAAATAAATTCAGTCACTTTTAACTATTGTCAAAAGTCTTCAACTTACGCCATAGACGTTAGCAATAAATCACTAATAGTATTTTGACCAACTAGTTAACTATACAATTTAATACTTGCAGTCATATGGATAATGGCCGGGTTTTGAGTATGAAGGGTGCCTAAAGGATGATAGTTGACAACTCTGACCCGTTACCCCTGAGGGCTGGCCCCCAGTCGCCCCACCACCTAGACGTTGAGTGTCATACAAATTTGAATATGGCGATGAGGCCGAGGCCGTCATTTCACTAGTCAGCTCTGGGGAAACTTGGTACCAAGAGTTATGACGGGAATACTGTTGGGCCGCGAGTCCGTACATCTGATTAGAAAGTCCATGGCTCTGGCTTGCCAGACTGTGACTCGACATGTCCTCCGCTGCTACCCCTGCCCCTGCCACCGCCTGTTGGCCCGCTATAGACATATGATTGCTATGGGTGTCGGGGAAGACGGAAGAAGTCTGCATTTGTGCGTTGCAATGATAGTTTATGGTGCTATTCTGTGTGCAGGTCGTTCTAGGATAGCTCAAGGGTTGAGGAGAAACTAATGAAGAACTGCATCCCCGTGAGGAAGTGTTCCCCGGGACAGAACTCGAATGAGATAAGTCACAAGGGGATGCAGCCGAGTTACTGGTCATAATAGTATCCACTGAAAAACTGCTTACAATATTGTCTTGCTGGGTTGGTCCAGGTATAGGGTCGGCGGGTATTGGCAAAGGATTTCCCGAAGAAGTGTCCACACCGATATGTCCTGATTGCCCACCGTGGTGGCTAACGCTGTCATTCATACAGTCACTGCGAGATTCAGAATGGTCAATAGGTTCAAGTTTAGTGCTTGTAACTTCGCGAAGTGACTCATGCTGCTGCCTTGGAGAACACAATCCGCTATCTGATGCCTCCCGTATTCGATTCTCCAGCGTTGACCCACTTTGCCTTTCGGCGCCATCTTGTCTAGATTCTTCATCGAGCGGTCTGCTCGGGGAACCCTCATTGGATTCCTCGTCTTGAAGACCGGGTGAGCCGTCAACTTCGTGTTTTTCGACACCGTGGCATCCCTTGCTGTCTCCGGCACCTTTTTGTTTCTTGAAGCGTCTTCGACGGCGCAGGTAACTGCCATTATCAAACATATTATAACTGTCCGGGTCTAAAGACCAGTAACTTCCCTTTCCTGGTTTCTTATCGTCCCTGGGTACCTTTAGGAAGCATTCATTTAGGGAGAGGTTATGTCGTATACTATTTTGCCAACCTTGCTTGTTTTCACGGTAAAACGGGAACCTGTCCATGATAAATTGATAAATTCCATTCAATGTACATTTTTTCTCGGCACTAGATTGTATCGCCATTGCAATGAGTGCGATGTAACTATACGGTGGTTTGACCATATCTTTCGGTGTATGCTGAGGTCCGTAGGGGCTATAATGTGCCCGTGACATGCTGGAATATTGGTCGTGTGGCGAATACATGGAGCCCATCAACGGCCCGGAATATCCTCCATGACGGTAGTAATTTTGATCCGCAAATAGTCCCGACCCCATCCCCAGACCGGGGTTCATGTTAGGCATCAGAGCCATAGAATTTGGGTTGTATCGGGGTTGTCCAACGATTCCGCTCGGCAAACCACTTTGCATCCCTTCTTGAACTACCATGTAGCAGTCTGGGTAAATTCTCTGAGTCCTTTCTGATGTATAACGTTTTCTATAAACAAACTAATTCAGCCGTATTGTTTCCTTAAAATCAGTAAATGATGTTAACTCAATGCCTTGTCAACAAGAAATGTTCAGCAAAGCTAACTGGCGTGTTGTTATGAGAATGTTCCGTATTTGGCGCGAAACTCCGCCTACCAGATCCAAGACGACCAATAGGAACACTCGAATCGATCAAATCCGTGATTGACCACACACAAGCTGATCCCAAGTGGAACTTAATATCGCAACAGAAACATGGCAGTTTTAGATGAATATTTAATTTGAGATGTATTTAATTGATAATTTCACCGCCCCTTTGTATAGACACGAGAAAATAATGAAGTTTTATATAAAGATGTTTCTAAAGTTTTCAAAAGATGAGTACAATATGGTTAGCGTTAATAAAGGCGCTTTATCTGACCAAATTCTCATCATACGCTTGTCAGACGATGTTTCCATTTCAGAAATCACCTAAATGAAAAGCTTTAGTTTGACAAGGAATTAGACATGTTGAGATTAAATTTAATCAGCTCTAGTACCGTTTCAACGACAGCTTTCAACAGGCCATTGGAAAAAATTAATTTATTGTTCTTCACCGAAATGTTTATTGTAAGAAGTGGCGTTTAAGCAGATATATTGGATATCAGTTTCATATTCGATAAAACACCAGCTCTGGTTGGTCTTAATTGACGGCGATCTCCTTTTTGGAGAGCTTAGTGTAAATCATAGTTAACTAGAATTATATGTCCTTTTTAATTAATTACTATTTTTGATATATTATTTATTCAAAAAAGTTTTTCTCAGTTAGTACATAAATGAAATTTTCAAAAAGAGCAATTTGCAAATTGTCCACTTATGATGAAAGACTCATGATAGGTGAAAAAGCGTTTCTTCACTCGAATGCTCGAATGTTCACTTCAATGACCAATTTTTAGTTATGTAAGTATCTTTCAATTACAGCATAGGAATGAATCTTTTTAAAATGAGGATAAGTGTTTATGAAAATATTTAGATTGGATCAACAATCCGATTTTATCTATTTTGCGTATTCAACTGTAAGCTTATATCTTACCCTAAGTTATAAATGAATTATTTTTATTTCATTTGTCTATTAAGAAACCTTTTTATCCAATTATGGAGATAAATTTTATTAGTATTTAATATTATTTAATGTTTTTTACGAAAATAATACCTTTTCTAAATTTGTCATAGGTAAAATATTTCGACTGGAGTTTTTCTGCGTTGTCAAAATAATGAAAATAACAATACTTGATTTTTGTTAAATATTGTATATTTTTGAAATATTGATCTTAGGGGTATCTGTTATTCAAAGAGCAACTGTTATAACTTTTTCTAAACAATTTCCTGAAAGATATCAAATTTTGCGCTGCTTAATACAGGAAAATGAGACTCTTGAGTTTCTTTATGGCCGTTTTAGCAATGTTTCATACATAAACATACTCTGTTTTCCAGAAAAACATGTAATGTGTACGTTGCTAAAGTACAAAACACAACTATTGTAATTACAGTAAAAACAACTTAAAGTTTCATCAGTTAGTAATATATTATTTTTAGATTAGGAATGTTAGTGAAAGCAACAAATTGAGATTTGTATCTCTCTCCCATCTTTCTCGTGTCCATTTATCAAAAAGTTTATCGTCTTGGCATTGCGCTTAGCAAGTTGCTGAGTAAAGCATGTATATCGCAGATCTGGGACAACATCGCTGGATACCATAAAATGACATTTTGTTTTAAAATGCAAAATTGACTAAAATTGAGTGATACATGCAAGGAATAAACCGACCAGAGGTACAGATACACTCTAAATTGTCTAGATATGTTGAAAAATAAGATACTTCAATCAAATATTTAAGAGAAATGGCGGGAAATCGGCAAAAGCAGACGACTTTTCGAGTACAGGTGGAACAGTCAATTATGCGATAAGAATGATATTCTAATGAGTGAGAAATAACACATTGAAATCAAAATGAAAATGTCAAACACTAGATCCATTTCATATCGGTGTTGATATATTTGGAAATACATTAGATAATTACGACATGATAAAAGCGACTGCTTCTGTTGACATTTGAGGCATAATACATCTCTCTGTTATGACTGCGTTATTAGAAGCAAAAGCACAAACGGCAACGCAACAAACTTATGCACCGTTATATCTTCACTGCAAGTCCATTTTGAAGATGATATATCAGATGATACTAGGATTATCCAAGCCCGATGTGAATCAAAGTCAAACGGGAGAATGACGAAGATCTTTTGTTAAACAATTTCAAGAAAATGGGACTAGCGATTCTCTCCCAATACTATAAAATGCCCTTTGCGATTTCGGACAAAAGGTCTTGTTTTGAAAAATAAAATTGAGCCGAAGAGATACATTTTCTGCATCCCGCAAAGGGTCAAAGAATTTATATTTGATGCTCCCTCAAAAAGTGGTCTGACATCCACTTTTGCAAGCTGATATCGGGAAAACCAGTCTTGGGCACAGTTTTAGAAATAAGTCAACTTGAGAAGGTACCTTCATATTTCTCGATGCTATTCGTTAGACTGATGATTCCTGAATTTATTAGTTTTTCAAAACCATTACAATTGAAACAATTGATAATGAATTAGAACAATTTGGATTTTGTTCACAGAAAATTATGATGCCATTGTATAATATTAAAGGTAGTATCAGATCTATCGAGCAACCTTAACAAAAACTGTTCCTGTGTTTGATTATGTTTTTCTCATATCATTCCTTGTCATGTCCATTTTCTAAAGATCCCAAGATTGCAAACTTTATTTCCTGAAAACTAAATATTTTTGTACAATAATGGACAATCATTCTACAAATGTGGAAAACAAAAATTGGGCCCAAATTTTGAAAACGTAAGGCCAATTGTGATAATATGCCAAAAAGGACCATTTTTGAGGCCCCTACAAAACTTTGGGGCCCTAAAAAGGGGATGGGCCCCATGCCCCCTGGATCCTCCAATGTAGCTACAGTAAAACTTGTCTTACCCGAACGCCATTGGGACCGGATAAAAGCGTTCAGATTAGGAGGTGTTCACATTTCAAGGTTTTTGCATTCGCAATATTTCGGATTCTGAAGAATGTGAACACATTCTCGGTAAATATTTACAGTTCTTTTAACCACATAGCTTTATGGCATTCCAGAAATTTGAAAATTTGATGCAAATGAAAGAAAAGAAAAAATGGGACCGAAAAAAGTGTTCAGATTGGGAGGTGTTCGGATTAGTCAGGTGTTCAGATATACAGGTTCTACTGTACATTTATTATTTGGGAGAATTTCAAAATATTCTCCATGTCTATCACTTTGAATCATTAAAATAAGCAATCTATAACATATCGCAGATCATTTGCAATTGGGAGATATATTTGAGATCGTAAGGAATATATTGCTGGGCCATTTGTTCAATGTTGATTTCAATTTTGTCACCCCCTTAACCCTACATATCTGATTCTGCCTTTAATATGTTTCGTATTTGGAATGTACGATTAGGGTTTCTCAAATATGATTCTTAAATGCAATTATATCCTGATATCCCCCTATCCGTCTGTCTGTCCGTCCGTCCGTCCGTCAACAATAGTGACACGTTTTAAAACCTCTGTCGATAGGATTCCTGTTTTAAATTATTTCTGTTCAACATCAATTTCAGAAAACTCCCCTATGACTCCTGGTTCAAAAGCTCGCTTTTTTTCAAAATGGCCGCCATTTTTGTCTCGCAAAATTCACGTTTGACCCATTTCCTAGCTTTACAAATAATTTCAGGTGTCCTGCATCGTAAAAATCCAGATCAATGTAAAGAGTAGTTGTATGAAATAAGTTCGTTACAAAAAATCAGCAAAAAACTATATCCATTTTTTTATTTTCAGCCATTTTAGTTAAGATTAATTTGTCCATCTGACTCGCGAAATCCACTTTTCCGTCAACAATAATGGCACGTTTTAAAACCTCTATCGATAGGATTCCTGTTTTAAGTTATTTCTGTTCAACATCAATACAGAAAACTCCCCTATGACTCCTGCTTCAAAAGCTCGCCTATATTCAAAATGGTCACCATTTTTGTCTCGCAGAATTCACCTTTGACCCATTTCCTAGCTTTACAAATAATTTCAAGTGTCCTGCATTGAAAAAATCCATGTCAATGTAAAGGGTAGTTGTATGAAATAATTTTGTTACAAAAAATCAGCAAAAAATGTTATCCATTTTTTCATTTTCAGCCATTTTAGCCATCATTCACTTTTGAGCAACACCATGTGAGCCCAGTACCCACGGTACTATTAATTCTCATTTTGCAAAACATCTTTGCATAATATTTTTGCATAACCGGAAACAAAGATACGTCGGTATGAGACAAACCGACCTAGCTATCGAGACAATTATATTAGCAATTAAAGTGCACATTCAACACGTTGGCAAAATGTTTACAGTAGTATGAACTGCTTTTGGAGTAAACTGCCAACAGTGCGTAGGTATACTGCAAATTCGTTGCCAAGACGATCCATCACTCAGTCATTAACAGACACAATAGTTTAAAGGAGTAGTCCATCCGAGTTTTTTTCGCTTTTTTCGGAAGGCATGTAGTGGTTGCAACTTTGATTTTGAAGAGATCTCGAGATGATTGCCCTAATGCAATGCGTATTCCTAATTTTTACAAGGTGTGTGGGACGTTTTGGGGATTATGGCACGGAAGTTTATCCCGTTTTTTCATTTGTAATTCGCCGTAGCTTCTACATTAATTGGTATTGTTGCCAAAAACTGACAACGCTGCAGGGAGTCACTGTAGGAAAGTGTGTCATCACTTAACTTCCATGATACAGGCACAAGTTTTCTGTCTCTACAAATTCAAAATGCTTTACTGTACCATATCCCACTTTATTTTCCTATTGGGAAAACCCATGGTAATTTTGGTCACCCTAGACTTTCAATGCCTTTC